AGTGTGAAAATGTACAATACGAGTGTGAAAATTGCCAATTAAAAAAAAAAAATTACAATATGATGGCCCTGGACCTACAAACACCTAAAACATCCTCAGCCAAAAGAATTAAAATAGAGATGGGAGGGGAAGACGAAGATTCTCTAGAACATGATCACACTTCTGCCCCAATCAAACATGTTGCTTCAGAGATAAGACCACCGTCAACATTTCACCAAATTCGATTTCTTGGTGAACAAGAAATCACCAAATTGGTAATTTCATACTGGTATTATTTTAAAAAAACAAAAAAACTACACCATACTAAGAATTTGATAGTAAACGCATAAATGAATCTACCATATGATGGAGATTACAACTCTCATTAAAAGAGAAATCAGAACACTTCAAACCAATTTTCTGGATATACAATAAATAACCAAATTGATACTTTCCTATATTTAATTGTTCTTCACTTAAAGAACATTATTACTTCTTTTTCCTTTTTTTCAGAATAAGAAACTGAATTACACTAGAAATTTTAGGAATAGACAAACATAAATGTGATCATAAAAACTTGTATGTGTGCTGGTTTACTCCACAGTCAATTTTGTCCTGACATGGCCCTCTGAAATTTGGAGCTTTTCAGTCAAACCAAAATGTGCCATAAGAAGCCAGACATGAGTGAGCAGCTCTCCTCCTCGCCTGAGCTGCTGAGCATGATCACTCCATCGGCACTGGTTAGCGGCGTAACATAGCATTTCCACCCACACATCACTCATCAACTCCCACTTCTTCTCCCCGTTTTCCTCATCTCCCAGCGCTTGCAAAGCTTTAGCAAGCCTGCATGCATCAAATAGAACCGACTTGCTTCTGTCTCCTTTCACTTCAGATGGAAGAATTTTTGTGCTCACTTTGAGTAGCATTTTGCAAGCATTTTTCTCATTCGCTATGGATTTTCTTTCTGTGAAAAATTCCTCAGTCTCAGCACATGTGTCTCTAAACCTTATCTGTCCAATCCCGTCCGGCAGCATGAAGGGGCACATGAGTAAAAGATACAACATGTAGTTTGACAACAGCCTACTGGTTTCACAACTGGGGCTGCTCTTAGGGTTCGGCTCCGAATGATAACAAATATCAGTTGCAATATGCCAGAGAATGATGCTTTGGTCAAACTCTTTAATGGTCCATCTAAGTTCCTCTTGACAATTTGCTTTTTCAAACACCTCGTCAACCCTCAGAGCACACAATTGTTTGCAATCCTCCAAGTTAGCAGAAGCTCTGTCTTGGAGCTGCTTATATATCAAATCCTTCAACTCTTTGCAATCAACCTTCAAGTCTTTGTATCGATGCTTCTCTAACACCTGATTTATGTACAAGTCCTTGTGGATTAAAATACACTTTGCTGGCCTAGCTTTAAGACAAAAAGTTATGAGGTTGCACTGTGCCACAGTATTAGACCACCTCTCGTTTTTAATCAATGGGATTGATGAAATGGCTTTGTCCAAGTAATCCACCACTCCCACCATTATGCTTTTATGCTTGCTCGGCCGTAGCTTGCTCAGCCATAGTTTTGTCCAGTCTGAGGAAAGTATTATGGCAACTGCATAGATTTCTAATACGATAGCTCCTAGCAACAACGCATATGTGATAGCTACATCCACTCCCATGTATGCTTGCTTCTCTACAAACAAGAAGGCGACCAATACAGCAACTGTGAAGGAAAGACTAACACAACGAAGTATGCCTCCAAGCCATGAATAAACCAGGACTGCTTTAGTGAAAAACAAATCATACATGAATCCTAGCTCGATCTCGATGACTTCGAAAACTTCCTCATAGTTTGTATTTTGGAAGAAGGATTGGCTGTTTACGATATCATGAAAGCTGAGGATGAGATCAGCACATAACAGCTTGAAAGTTTTGAAGAAATTGTAGGATGTTAAGATTGTAGGTTGGGTAGTGCCATTAACTTGAGTAATAGGGGAAGCCTCTGCACTTGTGGATGCTTCAATGAAATGTGTTGGTACAACCCTGAACCCTTCAGCTTTCTTTGATATGTATTCTTCCATGTATCTGGCATAATTGGGACCAGGGTCAGGATTTTTGAGCATAGACTCTCTAAATAGCTCACTGCTTGAAGCCCTCAGAACCCAAGTCCTCTCCCCAAATTTTATAATCCCAACAATGAACATTGGAATTGCTAGAAAATTCAACGCTTTGCTGGACCATGCTCTGAAGCAGACATAGAAAGCTACAAGCACCTGGGCAACTAGCCCAAGTAAGTGCCTTAGCCACAACTCATTGTCTTCTAAAGAGTAAGCAGTGATGGTATCTGGGCCACCAAGATGCAAGAGAAGAAATGGTGCCCAAAATGCTGTTATTATATAGTTTGGGTGCACAGAATCACCTTGAGAGTCTTCTTGGTTGTTGGAGAGTATGCCAAGTGAGATTGTTGCCACGGCGTCGGCGGATAAGTAAGAGAGCCATAGAACAATTCTGAGGAAGTTACTGGTTGAATGTTTTCTCCAGTTTCCAATCAGAATGAGGATGGTTTGCAAGGTGAGGCTGATTAGAACCGTAGCCCGAAGCTCCCACACGTTCCAGAGGTGCCTCACATTTTCTGGGAAAAGTTGCATTGTCTTCCGCTGCTTTGTGAAGATCAAACTGCTGATAACTTGGAATGAAAATTTTGAAAACATCAGACTTTATTAAACAGAGCATTTTAAGGTTGCATGATCATAGAGAACGAATGATATAGTAAGCTCACCTGTGGCAAACATGATTTCTCTCTTTTCAAGGATTTGAAAGGCGGTAGAAAAATAGAAAGGCTTGTGCTCTTTGGTTTTTAAGCATGGCCATGGTGATGGCTTCAGAGAGAGGAAGCCATGGACTTGGAATGCTAGGAGGATAAAAGAACAAAGGGATGATACATTTAAATATGGTAGGACCTCACCAAATCAAGTCATTCGGCACAACCACCCAACCAAGTTAAACACATCTTACTTCCTTAAAGTTTGCATTTGCGTCAATTTTTTGTATGACTTTTTAAGTTGTAATGTTTGTATGACGTAGCAAATGCTGACGTTACATTTTTATCTAAGTCTTTGTTCAATCATTGTGTTTCAGTTTACATACATTTTTTCAAAAGCTACTTGATCGAAACAAAAGACTGAAATTATGAATGACTGAGATATTATTGTAGACGAAGAAAAAACCAATAATGCAGGAAGGTATTCCTTGTCTGAATTCTGAACATGCCATAAAATGCAAACTTTCAAATATTTTATAAGACTAGATGGTGAATGACAGTGACTTTGCACAGCATGCCACCGAAAATAGCGTTCGAACTTAAGACACATTCCAACTTTTACCTATTAAGAAAGCCGCATAAGAATTGTCATTTCTAGGCTTACCTCATAATATCTGTCTATCTATATTAATAAACTTCAGAAGTCTTTTATATCATGCTGCATGCATAATGATTTGGATTAAAGTAAACTATACGATCTATAATACTAAACTATGACTTGCCATAAAAAATCACAGAGTAAACGACTCAAAATTCAATAATATGTGTGAACTTAGAACTTAACATATGTGTGAACTAAGAACTTAACACTAATTAAGTTTCCATTATTTCTAAATCAAAGCTGTCACTTACGATGAATAAAAGTCAACTTAATCATGATACAAACAAAAGCATAAAATAATCTCGTACAAATTACAATACATATTTTTAAATGACAAATAGTCATAATTTTTTTTCTTCATATATATAATAGTTACATGTGTTTTTCGTGTCAAAATCGAGTTACTTGAATTTTACACCAACCGGTCCATTTATTATTCTTGTTAGCGGGTCGTGTGCTAATTGTAATCTCGTCGTAAGAAATGATCAATCTAAACTAGCTAACTTCGTGTTGGATTTGAATCGTGTTAAAAGTTACTACATTGACCAAAAACACACAAAACAAATTCACAAAATGGATATCATTCACTTGCTCAAGCTTTGGTCATTAGACAAAGAAAAAGAAATGTTATGGTATGGTGCCTAAATGTGTCTTGAGCTTGGTCAAATACCTCGTGTATCAGAGATGTTTTTCTTCTTCTTCTTCTTCTTCTTCTTCTTCTTCTTGTGTTTTTCTTTTTTTTGGTAAATATTAGAGATGTTTTCCAATTGAGAGAAAATAAAGGCCCGATACTTCAGCTACCATAACATGTTAAGTACATAACACTCTCCGGCTTATGGGGTGTATTTCAAATTAATTCCGAAGAACTAAAACATTTGAAATTTACACCCTACCTGACATTAACTTGAACTTCTTTTATTTTTATCAATCTATGCATTTATAGGATCCCTTACAATGATACAAATCCACAATTGATCACAACTTAAATGCATCCTTGGCTAAGCTATAGGGCTTAGAAGAAATCTGATCATTTGTCGGAGTACATTTGCAAATAAATTTTAGATAAAACTGTCTACTAAGAATGATTGCAACAGTTTATATGCTCCAACCTTACAAGAAGACAATAAACAGAACACGGCAGCAGCAGATATACAACAAAAGATTGACAAATCGAAAATCGATACGCTAATGTGCAGGACAAACTTTACCACATCTGTATGGGCAGTTTACAACATATAATCTGTCTTGGCTGGCAGGCGTTGGAAGAAGTTAACCAGGGCTGATGGTACTGGCATCTTGCTCCTGTATTTGGGGTGCCTCATGTAGTAAAACCCGGCAACAAGAACCACAACCTGGAAAGGTGTCACATAAAACACAACAGCAGCCACAAGACAGAATATAGCAAACATAGCATTGGCATGAGAATCGGGCCATCTGAGAATTTCCTGAATCCGCTCCAATTCAGTAGCAACATCACCCATCATATTTTGAAACCTTCCGGCAATACTCCTCAAACGATCATACCTCATCCGGACTATATCATCTGGAAGATCTAATGTTGATGTTGGGAGTGTGTGAAGTTCTTCGTCAAGCTCATCGGGGAGCACAGAATCTGCTTGTGAGAGCTTTGTGTCCATGTGAGCAGGGTATCTTGGTCGGTACTGGAAATTCCAAATCCCTGTAACAAACATGTAGAGGAAAACAGTTGGCAAGATCAGCTGTGGAGAGCTTATGATCATCACAAACAGGACATGCACTAGAGCTGTCGTAAGGGGATTTTTCCACATGCGTACTTCTCCAAACCATTGTGCAACACCAACCAACCCAGAGAAAACTGACATAAGCCTGAAAACGTTTGCCTTGCTGCGCCTCACGCTCCAAACATCAGACTCTTCTGCATTAGAGGAAGTGTATTGAACTACTTCCTTCTCAAGACCAAGACTATCTGCCACCATCAACACAGCTTGGTCATACAACATGTCTTGCTGCATGCCAGTCAAAAGGGGTTGGGAGTATAGAAACATCATGTTTACCAGTGATGTGCATGAAAATCTAACTGCAAGGTGCAATTCACCCGTCTTCTTGACACCCGAAGGACGAAGTGATATCAATGGATAAGAGAAAGTGTAGACACGGCCAGACTCAAGGGTGGAGATTCGAATCCGGACCTTGCCAAATTTCTCATCTTTGTTTCCATTTGCATGGTTACCAACCCGACTGTTATCGAAAACCCCCACCGTGAGAACTGTGTGAAGATCGTATACATCCCAAGTGTGTTGCTCATTGAATTTTGGGCTTAGGCTGTCAGTTATGGTTCGAGTACGAACCCATTTGTGCCCATACTTTGCTACACAATATGTGTCTGATGTATCCTTCCCCTCCCTTGTTTTCACTGGGAGTAGCTCTGAAGCATTTAGAACTCCGAGTTCTATGACCCCTATACATGGCTTCCAGATTTGTGTAGCTGCCGGTTGAAGGTCGCTGCTGTAGTTAGTTGGCTCATCAAGCGCATGGTACCCTCCTTCAAGACAAACATGGAGATGTATTCTACTGGATAACTTTTCATCTTTGTCTTTGCTCTGCTGCTTCCCCTTCATAGAATCTGACATTATTGAGGTTTCAAGGGTAAACCACTGGCTAGAGATACTTTGATCATCAGTAGGCTTCTCAATAGAGTTTAATGCTATGGCTACCTTTCCTAAGGTCTCGTCTTTGTCTGGACTTACACGGTCTTCAACTGAAACCATCAGATGTTGATCATCGCCAAAGGGTTGAACAGCAACAAACATCAGGTCCTCATTCCACACTGGGTTCAGAATTGGAGATTGAGCTGTTTCTGTCTCTTCTTTTCTTGGTTGCGAAAATATCTTTGTCTTCAAACACTGATTACCAATCATCACTTGTGCATATGCCTCAGGGACACGAGACTTGTCAGATGCAACCAAGTCGTGTGCCTCAATCACTTTTACCCGTATGTACCATAATCTTGGCGAATGGTAAACTTTTGCTCGGATATGCGCATCAGCATCTGAAGAAACATGAGGAGGAAGGCTGGCATCAGAATGCCAGGCATATGGAAAAGCCACATCTGCTTGGGTGCCATGCCACACAGCCAGCTTCAGTTCCCCTTTCTTCTTGATCTCCACATCCTTTTCTTCTATCTGATACCATTTTGGAGCCCCTGGCTTATCAGGTGGAACTCGTGTAGTAAATTCCTTGAGATCAAAATGCAAAGACCCAAAAAATTGATCATCATCTTTGACCACAACATCCAATGCAGATGGCTCCAGATTGTTGTCCTTTGCAAAGGCAAATACCTCATTCCATTCAGGGTTCTGTTTTCTCTCAACACGTTTTGTAATTGCATTGCAATTCCCAACTTTTATTTCAAGATAAGTTTTAAGGCTCCCTGCCACATCCTCCGAATTTAAAGCAAAGTCAAGCCGGGCCTTCACAATTAATACAAACAGGTAATGCATTGTTTCAACAAGGTCATAGGTGCTGACATCCCCAGGTACTAATCGACCTTGAACAATTTGCCCCCTTCCCAGGTAAGGATTTGTCTCCTTCAGCAAATAATCCGAAGATGATGACAAGTCATCATCTTTAGAAGACTCTGGTTTAGACTCCGGTTCAGGCTGTGGTTGTTGAGACTCAATCTCATCATGCATCCCAGAGTTCATTGGAAGGTCATGGCCATCTCCATCAATAACAAAAACTTTCAGACCAAGCTCTCCTTTCACACGTGAGTTAAACAAAATGCCTTTTTTTCGCAGAGGGTGGTGCTGCAAAGAGTATGGGACAGATAAAGATCTCACAGGAAGACAAACCTTGCCAAGGAAAGATTTGGAGCTGTCTTCTTTAAAGTGGTAAACATGAGCTTCAAGAGTGAGGTTAGGTAGGCGTTTTGGATCAGAGATGTTGAAGTAGAAGCTTTGATCCCAAACAGGATTGGCATCTCTTTCTTTTGTGACGGTTTGGAATGTCTGATTATCAAAGTGGAGCTCCACAAATGCACTGGCTGCGCCCCGCCCATCTTTGGGCACAATAAGGTCATGAGCACTCACAACCAACACCCCTAACTTGAGGTTGCTCATGTCATGGGACCTTGAGAAGAATGATGAAGAAATCCTGGCTAAGGAAAAATAGCTAGCGGCTTAGGCATGGGCAGAGCTGACCCTGCTCAGCCTTTTTCTTTCTAAGAGAGGGGATTCAAACGTAGAAGC